TTGTTCATGTGTCTATCTGAGAAAGTATTTTAAGAACCCATGGAGAACACCATCAGAGAGGACACTTTCTGAGAAAGTACTCAGACCTCATTTTCTCTATGCTTTGCAATTTGTTTTTTACATCAACAATAACAACATGAACAGTTAAATGATTGCAGAGAGAGAGCGCAAGAGGTAAAAAGAAAACCATGAGTGTGTGGTGTCCTGGAAGGCTGGAGACATAAATATGTTCGGAAGAAAGGAGTTATCAGTTGTGTCAATGAGATGAGACCTGAGAATCGCTCTTTGAGTTACTAATGTGGAAATGATTGGTGGTTATGACAGAGCAGTTTCAGTGGGATGGGTGCAGTGAAACCGGACACATATGGGTCCTCGAAAGGAATGCACAGATGCTGAAGACACCAAGTACAGACAGTTCTTTCAATTCTTTTCTGTAAATGTGAATATCTTACTAACCTTAGAGCTCTTTTTAATCAAAAGTTTTAGGACTGTTTTATAATTCTTCACCAAAATAATTTCTTAAAATGGGTAGGAATAAGATTTTCAGTGGGAGTTTTTAACAAGTGGAATTTTTATTTAATGAAACCTATAGCACAGAATTATAAGCTACTGCCTCTATAATGATTGAATGAAATTTATAACAGTGGCATTGAATTTTAGCAAACTACCTTGATTTTATAAGAAGGTAGGAGGAGGAGTAGAATAATAGGACATATTGTTGCTACTATAGACTTGGGTAGAAAATGTAAAGAAAACACAAAAAACAAAAAAACCCCACAACAACCCTTTTTTGCAAAGAAAACAGCTGTGCCTTACTTACGTGATTTTTCATTAAACTTTTGTTGCTTTTGCTACTGTTGATATTCTTCTCTTGATATCATGGCTCTGAAGTCCCTTTTCAAAAATTGGTCAAAAATGAAAAAGCTAATATTCCTGATTATGAGGCAAGTTTGAATAGGTATTTCCTTTCTTTTTTCTCTTCTCGTCTCTTCTTCTTTTCTTTTTCTTAAAAAAAAAAATTTTAATGTTTATTCATTTTTGAGAGACAGAGAGAGAGCATGAGTGGGGGAGAGGCAGAGAGAGAGAGGGAGACCCAGAATCCGAAGCAGGCTCCAGGCTCCAAGCTGTCAGCACAGAGCCCGACGCGGGGCTTGAACCCACGAACCGGGAGATCATTACCTGAACCGAAGTCGGTTGCTTAACCGACTGAGCGACCCAGGGGCCCCTCCCCCCGCTTTTTTTTTGAGTGGGTATTTCTGTAGGTAGTAAATGACAATTTCCCAAGAACTACAATGGGTGTTTTGGAGAAGCAAACTTTATGCACATATTAAATTGAGACCATTAACTGTAGGTAATGGTAAACATCAAATGGATTCTAAAGTATAAAACAAATGTATTTACAGTGATTTTTTTTTCCCATATACTATGATTGTTGTTATCAAGCTCTGGACCTCTCAAGTGATTTGTCTGCAGTATCAAATCTGATTTAGCAAATTCATCTTAACCAAAATTCATTATATAGTTATTCATATCAGATTTGGCAAAAAGTTTTTAGTGGGTGAAATCTTGAGACACTTATAATAAGTCTTCTTTCCATTTCAGGCTACAGCCCTTCCTGAAATAGCAACTTGTTAGAAAGGATTCCTGGTGATTAAATTGTTCTTCACTTAAGAACTTGTTTTCTTAAAGTTTTGGCTATTTATAGTATTTGATCTCAAAATATTGTTTAGAGTGTTATTTTAAAATTTCTTTTTTTTCTCTAGCTCATAGACTTATAATCCCCAGAGGCTATTTGCATCATAACACTCAAAAATCTTAAAAAATGAGGCAGGAAAAGTGAGTTAAACTTTTCCTTTGATACCATTTGCTGCTCTACAAACAGTCTGCTCCAGAATTAGACACAGAGGCTTAGGGCTGAGTGAGATCTTGTTGGGATGGAGAGACTTGCTCAGGCATCACAGTCCTATTGCAAACACACTCAGTTTGTTTATATTTCTTTATTGGATTTGGGAGAGAGAGGATGGTGACTAAAGTTCATCCGTGACACCACCACCATGAGGCACCTATCCCATTATTTGGTAGTCTTTCCTAATGTTAAGCCTGATTCTGTAACTTCTCATCATTGGATCCACTGTTAAGTAAGATGCTCTAATAACTTCTGTCCCTATCCCCAAATGAGTTCTCACAGGGTCCGTGGTTAATGCACCGTCAAAATCCTTGCAGTTTACAGAGTCACAAGAATTCATGTCTTCTAGCCTTTGCATATGCTGTTTGTTCTTTTGTGACTGTGCTAACCATGATTCCTTCATTGGCCCATCTTTCCAGATTCTTCCCATGTATCAAACCCAGGAGTCTAGTCATTCTATCTGTTTTGTCCCTTAGCAACCTGTGCATACATTTTCATGTGGCAATTTCACATATCATTATGGTTATTTCTATGTGTGGTTTCACTGCTAGAGTGAGAGTATTACAGATATTAAATGCTACATCTTAATGAACCAATAAAATCCTGACACAGTATGCACTCAGCAAATGAACAAACACGCCAAATAGAATATGTGCATCAGTGAGCAAATCAACGAATTACGTAAGGGAGATATGGCAGAGGAGAAATAGCCCAACTCTTGTTACTTAGGAATTCTCTCACTTGGCAAATCTTCACACGAAGGGCATTGAATATATCTGAACCTCTGTCTTCCTCATCTGTTAAAGAAGGTTTATGTTTCTACCTCTCTGCAAAGGTTTCTGGTAGATAATACATAAAATCTCATATGTAAAGGTATAAAGTATTATACAAATATGAGATATTTTTCAGGTTCAAGGCATTATGATATAATCTGTGGGAAAAAAAAAAAAAAAACCCTAATTATATGACTGATTATATCAGGAAAAGGGAAAACAAATACTAAAGAGCAAGAGATTAGATCAAAAGAGGAGCGAGGCCAAAATTTACTGTATTGTCATGAGCGCCAGACAAATGTTAACCCAGGGATTCTAAACTCTGGGTGCACATTGGAATTACCTAAGTATTTAAAAAATGTTTTTAACTGAGCTCTAATTTATCTGGTGTGAGTTAAGACTCAGTTTTTGGTATTTTTTAAAACTTCCCAGGTCATTCCCATATATAGCAAGGGTGAGGGCCACTGCCAAGCCACAGGAATTGAAATGATTCTAGGGAGAAAAACTGCATAGCACAAACATGAGACGTTTTAAAAAAGATTAAACAGCATGAAAAGTTAGAAGGACTAGGGACAGGAATTGAATGATTAAAATGTTTAGGAACATCACAAATGAAAATAACTGTTTTAAGGTCTAAGCTTTTTTCTTTAGAAAGCTAAGGGAGCCACTGAGGAGAGATACGGGAGACAGTCAGTACTTCATAATTAACAGGGATTTGTTCAGACAAACTTAGGCACAGGCCAGGAATTAACACTGGCAGGGCAGCATTTTACAGACTACACCTTAAAGTTACTTAGGTTAAAAGCAGAGTTTAAAATGGCTATTGCTACCTGTTTACTTACTCATGAAAAGTTCCTAGAGGAGGTAAGTTTTGAACAAGGTTGAAATGATACTGTTTATACAGAAGACAGGAACACAATAGTGTTTTTCATGCGAAAAAGTTTCGGTTTGGGTTTGAGAGTCATGTCTTCCTAGTCTGTCATATTGCTATTTCCCTTAAACCAACCAACAATGAGGTAATTAACTGATATATTTGAAATTGTAATGAAGGGAATCCTGGAAGTCTTTTTTGGTGTTTATTCCCCACCTTTTCTGTGTTTAAAACTATTTCAAAATAAAAAGTCTTAAGGAATGTAATGTGTTTAAAAATATATTTAAGTATATAAAATGGTGGTCTTGAGGTAAAAAACATACTGAACTTATACTAAATTCTAAAATTAACTTGCTTTTAAAATGTATTTGAAAGTCATTTTCTAATAGATTATTCTTTGGCATGGGAAAAGTAAAATTTCATTAGTTAATTGAAATGTGGCATACTAGTGTGAAAAAATAGTATCTTCCCTACTTATGTCATACAAATCTGTGCATATGTTGTAGTCATACAGGAGAGGAAAGGTTATATACCAATGGTGAACCTTTTTTGGAGGCATTACGGTATCTTTTATTAATGTAGAAACCTTAGAAATCTCAATGTTATGTTTAATAAGTGGCCAAACAGCAGTACTTATAAATATTCCTTGCCTTGAATCTAATAAGAGATTTAGGAAAGAAGGAAGCAAGGATAACAGGAAGTGAAAAATATCTTATTTTCATATAAAAATTATGTAAGGAATGTGGAAAACAACCATTTTAATATTTTCATGGAGAAAGCCCAAGCCATAATTCAATATTTTACTTTCCGCAATTCACATCCTTTTCCAAGTGAATTATTTTCGTTAACTTGTTTCAAAGAATCTTGATATTTGGTACAGAAGAAAAGTGATGTAATATTTTAGGACCTTAAACTTTTAGTTTTTCAATTTTGTCTGTTTCAAATGTATCATTTATAAAGGCCATGCATGTAGTAGAGAAGGTACTGCTTGGTCCTAGAAAGCTGGGTAACAGCCCAACCTTGAGAAGTGCATTTTGTACGCCTAATCTTCCTCATCCGTAAGTGGGAAAAATAATAATAACTCTGTTACCATGTGTATTGTATATATCAAGCACTTGAATAATATGTCACACAAAGAGTAGCACCATGTAAGATTTAATTACCCAAATCATAAGAACATATTGCTTAAAAAAAGAAAGGGTGAAAATAAAATAACTACATTTGAGATTTCTTTAGCTTCGCTTAAAAATTTTGACGATTTGTCTATCCTGGGGATTTTTTTTTTCTTTTTTTGGTAAAGGCTGCATATTAATGCATGTACCTATGAGTATAGATGCTTGCTAGTTCAAATGGTACTCCTTTGATTAGACTCTTAGCAAACAGCCATGTCTCTCAATAGACACCCTGAATGTGGAGTAGTTTGTCACAATTATTTGGTAATCTCTTTCAGTGTAACTCACACAGCAAAAGTGACAATATTCCTGTCACTCCTCAGAAATGTCCCAGCTCTGCGGGTTTCCACATTCAGGAGAATGAAGAAAGCCATTACGAGGTATGCCATATCTCTATAGAGACCATGTTAGTAGTGAGCAATTTGCATTTTCCTAGTGATTGTATATAGTCTGAGTTAACTATTATAAACATTTTCTTTGCCATCCTCTTTTATGTTCATATTTTTATGCTAGTACTTTTTTAAACAACTTAAATAAAGAATTTTAGAATAAAAAGCAAACAATAATATCTTTCCTCTTTGGTAATAGTGCAGCTATTAAATTCAATATTCTTGCCATTGAATGCAAAGTGTTGATTATTACCTATTTTTGGAGAAAGTAATGAGCAAATTTCTTTTGGAGTTAAAGATTCTTAATTGATTCATTTTTATTAGTTGAGCTAAAAGATGTGAACATGTATTTGTTGAAAGATTTATTTGCTTCATATCCTACAGTTAGGGAAGATAGAGAAGACCATGTTGCTTAATATGAACAGGGTAACTGGAATTTTTATTAATCTTTTCTCTTTCTTCTACCTTTTCTCAGCTTGATTCTTTACTTCCTCATTTTTTGAATTGAAAATAAAAATTACCTTCCTTTTTGCTTAACGAGTCCATCCACTGTAAAATGTAGAAGATCCACATTTTGTTGTTTTTTCTTTTATCTTTTCTTTTTTTTATGTCGTGAGGGCTATTCTAGTACCAATCGTTCTAACAGGACTGGTTGCAAAAATCTATTATATTTATTTTAATTTATTAAAATTATGGTATAAAACACATAATATTTACCATTTTAATCATTTGAGAGTTACAGTTAGTAGTGTTGAGTATGTTCACATTATATAATAGATCAATTTTTTAAGATCAATGTTTTTAAGGAATTGTGTTTCAATAGTTAACTCTAATATTAACACACACATATTTGTTTCATGTATTTCTGCAGTCATAACATATGGATTGCAGAGAGATGATGAATAGATAGATAGTATGTATATGTATATGTGGTTAATAGCATGTATTCTATTTTCTCATTGAAGCTAGTTTTTTCCCCAATTTCCTTAAAGTTATTGAAAACATTTTTATTAGTAGTAGTAGTACAGAGTTGCTTTTTAAAAGGTATTTATTTATTTATTGTGAGTGAGAGAGAGGGTGGGGGAGGGGCAGAGAGAGAGAAAGAGGAGAGAGAGAGGGAGGGAGGGAGAGAGAGAATCCCAAGCAGGCTCCGTGCTTAGTGTGGAGCCTGATGCAGGGCTCAATATCATGACTGTGAGATCATGACCTGGGCTGAAATCAAGAGTCAGACACTTAAATGACCAAGCTACCCAGGTGCTCCAGTACAGGTTTTTCATACTAGTTTTTGCCAAGTAAAGGCATCTGTCATTCTCAAAACTCCCAGTAGTAACGTAGGTCAGAGAAATTATTTTGATTAATAGAAATTTTACTGAGTAAGCAACTTCTTTCTAACAAACCATTAATTGAGATGGAAAAATGTTAAAGTGATATTTTGGACAGTTTTATCTCCTAATACTTCCTTCACATATTTTATTTTTCTTTGTGTGGATCTAATTATTCAGAAGCATCCTTCTTACCTATAGCATATATTCTTCTTCCTATTTTGCTTTTATTTCCTCTTTCTCCAAAATCTCAATCACTTGGCAGTTGAGAGAAGAATGATAATTTAACCTCTTGATTTATCATCATTAGTGTGTCTATTTCAAGTGTGTAGAACATGGAAATTTCTCCCATGAATCACCCTTATTGCATCCAATAATAACACAAGAACAGTTATTTTATGGCATAAATAAATAAGTTTTATTCATAAATAAAAACTCATGTAAATATTTACAAAGCCCATGCACAACATTCTGAAAGCCACTGAAATCCCGAAGATTTCCTTATTTTTTGTAGAGAATTTAAATAAGCCAAAATTAAAATAGTTTTCTGTGAATGGTATTTTTATTCTTCCCTGGATATTTTATAAGGCCCAATGCACAACAGCACAGTTTGTACAGAGTTTATTTGTCTAGAGAAGATAGGTAAGAAAGAAAAAATGATACTCCAAGTTATCATGTTGACTTATATTATGATTCCAATTATCAAAGAACAGTGAAAGTAAATCTGTGTTATACTTATAAACAAAAGAAAGTAAACAAATTATTTTTTAAAAATCCCCAAATTCTCATTTAACCATCATATTCCAGGCCCATTGTAGTCTGAATGGTTTCAGATTAGGTCATCTCTAAGGTCCTCTCTCTTTCTAGTGGTCTATGATACTAAATAAAGATAATGATATTGACAGCTGATATTTTTGTGGCACTGATACTCTGTGCTGGGGTCTGTTTCAAGGTCTTTATGAGTATATTTGGCCATCATTTACATTTTGTCCTTTAAATGGTTTTTCATTTTCTTATTTGTTAAATGGCTTTTCATCATATACCTAATTTACTGAGTATACTTTTTTTTTTAACACATCTAGAAAATCTCTGCTGAGGTTTCTTAGCAAATAAAACTTGGAGACGGAAGTAATGCCTGTTTTGCAGTGTTATAAAGCATTCTGTAAGGGACACCTGGGTGGCTCAGTTGGTTAAGTGTTCAACTCAGGTCATGATCTCAATGTTCATGAGATTGAGCCCTGCATCAGGCTCCATACTTACAGCACAGAGCCTGCTTGGGATTCTCTCCCTCCCTTTCTCTGCCCCTCCTCCACTTGTGTTTTCTCTCTATCCGTCTCTTTTTGTCTTTCTCTGTCAAAATAAGTAAACTTAAAAAAAAAGCATTCTGCAACACAGGGTTTCTGTATAATGTTTAATGTCTATAGAACAAGAACAAAGGGGATAGTTTCAGTAACCAGTTCCTTAAAAGTTCTTGATCTAATATTAATCATTTTTGAAAATTAATAATGGAAAGTGATCATAACCTACAAAGTTGGTTCCTGTGCTATGCTGTTATTATTTTTCCTTTACATCGAATAATGTGGTAAGCCTGGTAAATATATTACTAATTTTTTATTTTCTCACAATTTATACTTTCCCACTTTAATCACTTTACTAAAGTAAAAAAAAAAAAAAACATGTTAGGTCTTTTTATCATAAAAATATTTAATTGAATAAAGCCATACTGTTCAAGTAGAAAGTCATATTTTTGTCAACTAATATTGATTAATCTGAATGAAGCTATTAAGTTTGTATTACAACTTTAGATACAACACAAAACCAAGGCTGTATGACCAGCAAAGTATTAATCATTCTTAAATTATCGGACTTTGCCCATCATGCTTAACTTAGATATAACAATTACTGCTCACTCATAGAGGAATGCTAGTATCAGCTAATGGGTAATCTTTTAGCAGACATCATTCCAGACTGTTCATATATATTACCAAATTTTGTCTAATCTATGATGTTAAGATGTTAATGTATAACAGCTTAGCATAACCCATGCTATAATTTCATTTACCATTGAGAAGAATTGCTATTGATTAAACTCTGGTAAGTGCTTATATATGATTTCCTTAATATGTATCCCACTTTAAGTTATGTTAAAGTATAAGAAAGCTTACATATTAGAATCATTAAAATGTAGCTCATTTTAATTCTGACAGCAACCCCATTATTCCCATTTTACAGATAGGGAAACTGAGGCACACGGAAGTTACGTAAGTTGCTTGCATTCACACAGGTAGTAACTGATGGAGCTGGAATATAACCACAGGAACTACAAGGTTAATTACCCTAAGATAGTATTGAAGTCAAAACAAATTCGCAGGCTATTTAGTCATCAGAGACCATGGAGATTATATATTCATATTACTGAGGCATAAGTTGAAGACAAGAAAGATGGAGGAGCTTGCCCTAGGTCACAGAGCTAGCTAGTGATAGAACTAGGATTAGATCCAGGGTTTCTGATCCTCGAGTGATCTAATGACTACTTCTAAGCTACGTAAAAATTTTCTATGCAAATGTTAGAGAAAATAGTTCATATTTGAAAATTTTTTTAAACTAGATTTTAAATAAGGTCTGGAATTTAAACGAATTGTCATATTTAAGTTTTCCTGACAGAGCTCTGTCACTGGATACACAAAGCCTTCATAGTTAAAATACAAGCATAGAAATGAATAAGTGCACATTGTTTTCATGCCATAAATGCATATTACCTTTACTAAGCCTCTTTGATCCATAAATTTTATTGTCATTTCCCTTCTATTATGTTCAGTTCCCTTTACCCATGAAATAGCATAGGATGCAAGTGGATAGAGCTTTCAGTGTCTATATTCTGCAATCTGTAGGAAAATGCCTCATAGTTATTGGAATTCACACAAGACTGCATCTCAGTATGAGTAGCTGTTCCCTGTCACTGTTTTTGATGCTTGAGCTAAAGTATTTTTACAAAATGGTCTAGTGTTCAGTGTATGAATTTTTGAGATAAGACTTTTCCCTTGTAGCAATGAAATCCGAAAATCAATGTCAGATGAAAATCTTAGCTCTAAGAGTTAGGGAGATTGGTGGAAGACTTTTAAAATAAGTATGAATTTTAGCCGCCAGACTTTGGAAATGTGGCAGTTATCACAAGTGTGAAATTCATGGGTACAGATGGTTGATCAAGATATCCCTGGATGGACCACTACTATAAATCTCCAGACCAAAACTGGGAAAACAGTTTTGATAAGGAAAATGTTTTTAACCTTTTACATAAATTTGTGACACAGGGTTGCTGGTCAGAGATACATAGAAGTTAAATTATCATTGGCTTCACAAACATTCCAATGGTGTCATTTGATGGAAATATTTAACAGAATAAAAATATGTCAAATGGAGAGTGAGAGGAGCATGTGGGAAGAGAATAGAATTAAAATGTATTAGATTATTACTATTATTTTGTGTGTTGCATTTCACATTCATAATCTCATTTAGGACAATAAGTCTTCCAGGTAAGTATACTTTTCCCACCATTAAAGATGGAGTTACAGGTACACCTTGAGCTTGGGTTCACCGAAACAAAGGCACACTGAGAGCTAGGAGAACAGTGGTTCTCCATGTTTGTAACCATAGCATAGAACACTCTAA